ATAAATCTTTCCCTTCGAGCAGAAAAACATAACAAGAACCATAAGGCAGAATTTAAACCAAATATTTAAATAAGGCAGCATTTTAACGGTGGAGCTGCAGTTTGGCTTAGCCATGTTGTTAAGCTGTATTCCAATGGCCGTCTGCCAGCAGGAAATAGGATCCAATCCGATCCCACCCAATCCCTCTCCTGCCAAAAAAAGTTTTAAATCTGGTTATTTTCAGCACAGTCATCTCCCTGATCTGGCACGCCAAGCCTGGCTACAAAAACGCTTGTGCCAGTATGGTGCGGGGTTGGGCACTGCGGCAGAGGTGAGCCTGCTTAGGACAACGCTTGTACCAAAGGGACAAATGCACAACACTCTCCTTTAAGGATATTTACCCATAATTATAGTGAAGAGTGCCAGTTGCATGCCCTTGCGAAGACCTGACCCCTTATACCTGACATGTCCAATATATTTGTTCAGTGAGACTTAGAGTAACTCCAGTTTCCTTTTGCAAATCAGAGACTTATTTAGGTTAGGAAAGACCTCTAAGACTGAGTTAATTCATTGGATTTTATGCCCAATAATTTGCATTAATTACTCTCAGCTGCACCCCTTCGTGCCCCTTTTTAATTCTAGTTCATACATTCATTTCTCATCAAGTACTACCATAGATACAACAGCTTGTAATGAGCACTTACTGACAAACTTGTCCTAAAATTTATTTAAATTTATAAAATTTATAAAATTTATTTAAAAATTGACCATCCCAGTTTTAAATAGAAACTAAACAAGTTGGGTTATGTACCACCCACCCTACTCCCAAACCCCATCCTGAAAAAGGCTTTACTTCCCATTCCTCTTTTAGCTGGAGCTGATTAAGGATCGAAAAAAAACCTCCCGAAGTAAGGCATCTTCACATCTCTGATTCCAGCAGCAAAAACTTGCTGTATGAACCCCGTAAAAGAAAGAAAAGCACGATCTCATAAGAAAACCCAAATGAAGAAAAAAATTACTTACTATTCCTTACGAGGCAGCTTAAATCCTGTGGGGGGGAAGAGACAAGAATATTACTCTCAGAACAGACACAGGATTGACAGTCATTTGCTTCTGCTTGGTGGCAGGAGAGGGGCAGGAAACAACTCGGTGAACAGTGACGCATACAGACTGGAAGAATTAGCCGTCAGGAAAATTTGCACAAAGCTGTTAATCAGAAAACCAAAGGACGTGGGGCAGGAAACCTGTGCACACCTGAGCTGCGCGTGTGACAGCAGTAGTTGCAATAATGGAAAGAAGTTGGGGAGGCAAAAATGCAAGATGATGATAGTGAATGCTTTCCAAAATCCAGGACTGTTAAAACAGGAACTAGTGTGACATGAAAGGTTGCTTGAAGTATGGTTTTTCACATTTTTGAGGATGGACACTTGAAAAAGCCAGCTGTGCCTTTTCTGTAGCCAACGTGCCCTCCAGTGCGGCACGGAGAGCTGGGGTTTGGCATTAGACAGCATCGCTGCCAGAGCTGCAGCCCTAAATCTCCCCCTTCGTGTACCTCCCAGCGCTCATACCTGTGACCGTGTGGGCACCCGGCTACAGCCCGAAACCAACGGAAGGGGAGGAAGGGAGGTCGGCTGTGAACCAGATCTTCTGCACCTCTGCTCCCGCTTGTACGGGAGAGGCTGGGAACAAGCCACCAGGCCTGAGGAATCATACAATGGTTTGGGTTGGAAGGGACCTTAAAGATCATCTGGTTCCAACCCCCCTGCCATGGGCAGGGACACCTTCCACTAGGCCAGGTTACACCAGTCAAACCAATAGGCAGGTATAAAACCAGTCTTCAGGCACCATGTAACACAGCCACCCTGCAAGCAGCAGTACTACAAAGGCAGGTATGGTACATTGGAAAGATAGGGTATGTTGAAAAGGATTCAGAGCAACACCCAAGAACCTGAAAATCTCTGCCAGGCTTTTGTTACACCAGTCAAACCAATAGGCAGGTATAAAACCAGTCTTCAGGCACCATGTAACACAGCCACCCTGCAAGAAGAAAGGAAGAAAGTGGTCATTGCTCTTTCACAGCTGCTGGCTTTTGTCGGCTTGTAACAGGACAGAACTACATCCTGCCTTTCAAGGAGTCCTAGTGAAAGCACAACATCACATCAATTAATAAGCTTTCTATTACTTGAAGGAAATGCAAAGTATAAGAAATCAATGATATACTTCCAACATTAACACATTTCAGCTGATGCATCCGTGTTCCTACAAACCTCGAGGGAAAGCAGGCAGATTTGTCATTAAGCTCCTCATGCTTATATAAAAAAATAAAACCTGAAAATCTCTGCCAGGCATTTGTTACACCAGTCAAACCAATAGGCAGGTATAAAACCAGTCTTCAGGCACCATGTAACACAGCCACCCTGCAAGAAGCAGTACTACAAAGGCAGATACGGTACGTCGGAAAGATAGGAAAAGGATTCAGAGCAACACCCAAGTGGTGTAATATAGACCAGCTTTATTACCGTTTAGGAAATGTTTCAATTGGTTCCAAGAAAAAAAAAATGTGCCTAATTGGCCATTCTGAACTCCTAAACATACACAAATTTATTTAACACTTTGCCCAAGAACTGAACTTTGGTGAAAAATAAGTGTTTTCCTACTAGCTGGCTAGCAACACGGTATTTTTCAAAATGAAATCATCTTTGCTGTAGTAGGTTAGGATGAAGGCAGCATCCCAGGGTCAGAGCAAATATTCTGATTACTTTGCACTGTTAATCAAAGTTCCCTTTATAAAAGAAGAAGGGGGATAAACAGTGACACACTTAACCTTTCCTTGTTGTCTCTTACCCCATTCTCTTCCTTTCTGCCCTGAAACCCCAGGTGAAAACACCCCAACAGGGTCTGGCTAGATGGGGGTCTTGGGACAAGCAGCCCCACAGGCTGAGTAGCAGTGCCATGTGTGGGGCAGAGGAGCACTAACATAACCAAAAGCAAAAGAAATCCATGCACTTAATGTCAATGTTTTGGACATGTAAGAGGTACTTCTCACTATTTTTGTTGTGTTCAAAAGGTCAAGCCAGCTTGATCAATTTGAATATAAATAAAATTTAGTCTGAATTGTACTTCTGCAATTATACTGCACCTAATTAATACGGACAAATGTGCAGACAAATCCTCCATTGAGTATTTCGATACTGTCAGACTGAAGAAAACCCATTTATGAGTTAATAGAAATGTCATTACAACTTTGTACCTCCTACATCAGGTTTCCTTTCCCCAACCCCAGAACACTCCCATGTAGCATCCACAACTGAAATTCTTTGATAACGGAAAAAACGTGGAAGGCAAGCGAGTAAATGCTGATTAAACCAACCCCAAACTGGCTAAAGTACAATCACTGGGGGGAAAAAAAGCATATAAATGTAACTACCAGTATGGAAGAGCAGATTAGACTATAAAAAAATTACTCCTAACACTTCAAATGCTTGATCGGACTTTCTTAGGTAAATTATTTAGTCTGCCAATGTCCCTTGCATAAAGAGGTGCCGTGCTTTTGGCTGGGATGGAGTTGATTTTGGTCACAGCAGTCGGTACGGGGCCGTGTTTTGGATTTGTGACCAAAATAGTGTTGATAACACAGGGATGTTTTAGTTATTGCTGATCAGTGCTTTCACGGAGTCAAGGCCTTTTACATTTCTTACCCTGTTCCTCCCAAGCAGGTAGGCTGGGGTGCACAAGAATCTGGGAGGGGACACAACTGGGACAATCCACAGGTTCTCTTGTTTGTGCCCTTCCAATTCTCTCCCCATCCCACTGAGGGGAGAGAGTGAGTGGCTGTGTGGGGCTGAGCTGCTGGCTGGGTGAACTCACAACAGACAGCAAAAGTAACGGGCTGCTAACCACGGTTTTTTCTTTGTAATTTAATGACTTGTATTAAAACTCATCACTTAATAGTCATTTTGTCTATGTGCTGCTGCAGTTATCAGTAATTAATGTAAACTGCATCACGATAAAGCCCTTACATGAATTATAAGGCATTATTTACCTGAAGAGTAGCGACATCTGCTTTCATTTGAGTGCTGGTGTTTCTGTTTACTAGCAGATAAAACATGGTTAAATGAGGAAGTGCTGCACTTCCCCTTTTTTGTTTTATGATCAATATTAATATTGATCCAGCACAGCAGATAAATGGATGCTCTCTTCCTCCTGGTCTGTTGTCCCAGGCAACCTGTTCACAACAATATTCCCAGCATCAATGAGCCTGTGCCTTTTCTGACATTCATTAAAAAGCCAAGAGCTTAATCAGGAACCATCAGTCCATTTCTGAGGATTCATAACTGAAACTTGACAGTTAAGCTCTCTTATCTTTCAACACTGGGTTTCTAAAGGGACAAACTGTATTTCTTCCTGGTGTATCACTGTTCCCCACCTCAATTCAGGATTTTCAGGGGGCTACCTACATGGTTTTTTCCCCCTACCCCACACACACCTGTTTACCTACCGTGCCAGAAACATTTCCTTGTGTGTATCTGACTACACTGGGGTGTTTTAAGGTTTTACCAGTTAGCCACGAATTTAGCAGGTTGACCCCAAGTGGGGAGGGAAGGGGAATTCTCCCACCACATGGCAGCCTGCACCAACTCAAGTGTTGGTCCGCTCTCTTCCCAGTCCCCAAAGTGCTACAGGGATGACCTAACTACCCAAAATGCCCAGAACAACAATTTATCCAGCCAGAACATCCTCACTATTGGCATAAGGAAGCAAAGATAACAGCAGGAGAAAATAAAGCCACGATGCAGGCAGAAATGTAAGAACCCCAAAGGGTACCTGGAAAGCAGAAACCCCTCATCTCCTTTTTGGAAAGTGCCCAAGTGAAGTGAACCGGGCTGCAGCCAAGGGCACACTTTTATACCAAGGAAAGCTGACTCCAGAGAATGACATCCAAAAGCCAGGAAACAAAGAAAAAGACAAATTGGCTTTGCAGTAAAATAAGTCAACTACTTCCAGATTTGCAGGCTACCTCCTCAGCACCAGGGGGAATAATTGATGGTTTTCCCTCGTAACGGTCCAACCCTCCCAAAGCCTTATCAGATGCACTGGCTCATTCCAAGCACATCAACAAAGCTGTGGTCAGCAGAGGAACTTAACCTAGTTTCCCTACTTGAGCAAGCACAAATTTAGACGATGGAACAGAAACAAAATCACGGCGATGATTGCTTCTGCTCACCCACACAGACCCAGAAGCACATAAGAAGCATCGACAGAAGCGAGACGTGTGTCAGTCTGCACTCAACGGACAAGGAGACAAATGGGAAGGGAAGGAGCGAAAAACCCAAGCGCTCTGCAGAAAAGCTGACAGTGGAGCCCTCGGTGAGGCAACGTGCTCTGCACCTTATTACAGGAGGTAAACTGAGATGTTGTCCACTCACCAGCTCCCTACTGCCTTTTGGGCCCAACAAGCAAAGCTACAGACACGGCCTAAATATGAGAACAAGATGATTATGAGGTGATGCCCCAAACTATTATGAATAGGACAGGCACAGTCAACTCTTCACCTTTACTTGCCACATTGTCACAGAACGCTAAGCAACTGTTTCTTTCACTTTTTTTTTTCCCCAAGATTTTTCTTGGTTTTGACATCAAAAAAAGAACAGACCATGTGCAGTGGAGGATCAGATGAATCAAAAAGAAAAAAATGGGAAACTAACAGCACCATGCCATAATAATTCAATTTAATTAATAGGAGGCCAAGAATTCACAGCAGGATGCTGTGGTAACTAGCAAGAAACTGCCGTGAGCTGGGCAAGCATCCAGCTTTCCTTTAAAGAGCGGCTGCGGCATGGGAAGGGCTCCAGCTTCCCAAAATCTGCCTCTCACCTATGAGCCATTCTACGTATCTTGAGAGGCTCAGCCAATCTGAAGTTTACTGCAGTTTCCCTTTCCTGATTCCTCAGTTAAAAGAAGCAGAGGTCAGTAGGATGTGAACACGTTACAGGAATAACTGCTGAAAGATGATTTATTTAAGGCTGGTAGGAAACAACCATG